TGGAGACTCCCAGAGAAATATGATATTAACTGTGTTGTTCCAACAGTAAAGCATGGTTGGTGGAGGAGTAACAGTATGGGGTTGTTTCACATGGAACTCTTTAATATTAAACCCTTTGGTCAGATTGAAGGAATAACATTTATGGAAGGACTTGAAGGGGAAATTGTTGATTACGAATTTCAACAAGACAATGCTTTAGTCCATAAAAGTAAGTTGACAATGGCATTCTTTGAAGATTCAGACATAAATCTGATGCAATGGCCAGGACAGAGCCCTGACCTTAATCCCATTGAACATCTGTGGGACGAGCTTGAACAACATATTAGACACAGGATGCACCACCAAAATCTGAGGAAAAATTCTTCAAGAATGGAAGAAAATCCTGAACACCATATTTCAAACCTCAATTTTAAGCATGTAAAGCAGTTAGACATGCTAAAGGTTATGCAACCAAGTATTAATAAAACTTTTTATTATATTTTGCTTCATAACTGTGCTTGAATACTATTCTGAATGCATATGTTACTAAATTTTTGCTGCATTTTTACATAATAAATTTTATAATTTTATTTATCAGTAACTAATCCCAGGCATACAAGTCGTCTTGCCAAGAATTCTCAAAGGAAAATGTCCCAAAAGAAATCGATTAACCCTCCAATAGCCCTGACTTGAATTCCATAGAAAATTTGTGGAATTACAAATGCCAAGAATTTGGCCGAGTTGCAACAACTTGTAGTAGAAGTGTGGAATGCAATTCCAAATAGTTTGCTAATAAACCTTATCAATTCAGATGTGCATTTATAATTGAAAAATGGAGAGAGCATTTCTTACTGATATGTTTTCAGCTTTTTGCAAAAATTTCCAAACCAAAATCAATATGTTAGTTATTGAATAATTTTATTTTTTTTTTGGCCATTTTTTTGTAACACTCTGTATATCCTAGGAAGACTATTTGTGAGAGGATACTTCAAAGTAGTAATGTGCCACATTAGAAATTACATAAAATATGTCTTTAATTTATTTCATCGAGTATAGAATCTGCATGGATTAATAAATAAGCCAGCTACAAAACTTGCCGATGAAGTAACATAATGTTTCTGTGTTAAAGATGTTGTCGAAAGTATTTTTATCAAACGTGAGTAAATATAATTTTTATGATAAATATCTTTAGCGTCGACATACGCTCCAGCCTCCTCAACTTGGATCTAAGAAATTAATTTTTTGTGATGTTGTTATATAATAATAACCGGCTTTTCGCGTTTCTCACATAACCGTTCCAGGGAGCACCAGCGTTAGTCTAGTATTAAAAAGGATATATGAAATATTTGACATTGTTAGAAAATAAGATATGATCGTCCGCAAAATATCCATCATGGCCCCCCATACAGTACCCTTTCCAGGTCCAGATTTATATCCAGGGTACTGTATTCACCTGTCTACGGTATTTTATGTCATCGGAGTATGATAACCTTTCTTGGGAAATAGTTAATCGATTATCCAATTTGCTATCATCTTTAACCCTGATATTGTCCCATGAACGTGACCAATAAAATTTAAATTTATGTGACTTACATTCCGATGAAATCCCTGTTATCAAGATCTGCGAATAGTTATTTCCGGTATTTTTTATTTTAGCACTTTCTTTGTGTAAAATAACTGAGTTTAAAGGAGCTGAACAAGGAAAGCAAGTGATCGAAAGGTTTTGAAAGTAAAAGAGAATTTCTCAAAGTAAATCACTTTCTTTGTCACCAGGCAAAAGTTTTTTTCTTCTTCTTGCTTTAAAAAAAGATTCAACCAAAAAACTAGTTCTTGCCAAGCAATTTAGTATTGGAATAAAAAAAAGAAAGAAAAAGAAAATTTAAAAAGGCATTTGTTTATTGCCCCCAACAATTGTATGCAAACGCGAAGCGAAACACACACCACACACCAATAAGATGTGACTGCATAGAATATGAAACAAACCTTTTTGATTTTGATACATTTATTGGTGATTTTGCGGGCTTTGTCACAGTGTATAAAGAAAAGTCTGCTAACCTGAAAGACGAACATAACAAGCTACTGTTTAGGACTCTTAATCCATTTATTATATGGAATAGTTGAAATTGCAAGCCAATAAATAAAATGGTAAAATAGTATGATTATGCACCAACAGTTCTGGAACACCGATATCTCTTGTTCGCTTAATCAGGTTTGTAGCAGCATGACGTATATCCGAGACATGTTATTTTTACTTGAGTATCAAAATTATGTGCAGAAAAGAATCCAATTGCGTCATTTTGTGGGGATGGTTAAGATCAAACAAGCAACACATAATTACTTGTAACAGTAAAGGATCTCTTGTTGTAGCTCATATCAAGTTTTGGCTGACATAAGATAAAATTACGGCATATACTGTGTCTTTAGACTGATACTTTATGATGCCAATCACTTCTATTTTTAATCCATTCTTTATACGTGTATATATAATAGTATCAATATGCCAAATATAACTTATTTTTGGCTGTATGGTAGAGAAACTGTTCGACATGGGATAGATTCTACGATTAATGCATAACAACTGGCCAAAATGTACATGGTAACTCGCCATAACTGACAGCTTAAAATACAGTCCAGAGACGACACGGGTCCTCGACGATGATGCCCTATGGTGTGAAATAGGGGCTTGTGACTTAATCGAAACCAAATAAGGACGTTACCTAATTGCATAACGATAAATGATTTCTAACCAAATTAGCAGATCTTTACATGGATCATTAAAAAAACACCCCTTCATGTGAGATAACATGCAAGCTTCAATGCAAGAAACGCCCACAGTGTTGCTTAAAGTCAAATTCACAAAACAATCCAATTTTAATACATTATAAAGATGAACGCCAAACTAGGTATTCGTACAAAAAAAACAATCTTAAGGAGGGCGTTTTGGAATATGGCATCGACACATCATGTGAAGGTGTCCAAAAGTTACTATTACACAAGAGGAGTCGAGATGAGACGGACAAAATGTGAAGAGCACGATGTTGGGATGGGATGCACACAGTTTGTCTGCATAAAGTCCAGTTACACATGCATGAAATCCTGCAGCATCGATTAATTGTTTACTATATACGTTGTAATACTATCCCTCCTTTCAGCATAGATTTGGGGGTATACCTATATTTAGTTTTGCCACTCCTTTGGGTAACGTGTGGAAATTACCCGTTAAACACCAAGGCAACAACGTGGCTTTGGCAAGACAATGTTGATAATCAGAATAACAAGTGCGACTCGGTAGTGGGAGTCCGTCGATCAGGTTATTAAAACCGTCGAAAACATACTTGCTTTGATGCTATCCATTGGTCATCGTTCACCAGTTACCACGGTCGCTGGATTGCCCTCTTTGGGGCCGTATCGATAGCCGTGTAACAAAGAGATTTATCAACATCGTGTGATTTAGAATTAATGATCGATCTCGGGCATCTTAATTTTTGGCAAAGGGGGCTCGTTGACTTGGCCAAATTAACTACGATCTCATGCAAAATCCTATGTTCCTTTTATCTCCAAACTCTATAGTATCTCCTCCTTTACATCCGTTTAATATTGTCCCAGAGTCCAGGTCTGAACGCATAGCCATACGTTCAAGGCCAGGACTCTAGGACCCAACAATATGATTACCACCAGTTATTCTTTACGATTTTCCCATGACTTCAAAATATGGTTTTTTGTAAGACTTATGCAAAATAAAGGGTCCACGGTCTGTCTGAAGCAATATAAAAAAATCCATCTTCTTTGCTCGCGGTTTAAATTTGACAAGTTTTGTCACACGCTGCGTATTTTATATGATTATAACCTAAAAAGCTATGGTGTCAGCCAGCCAACTCTATCACTCATACGTTATTATAACGTTGAACATGTCTGAGCATTTGTTTATTATTATTGGATGACGTTATAGGTCATTGTTTGTCAAGACTATTGTAAAAGGTATGATACACAGTATTCGAAAAAACGAAAGGTTCATGGATCGACGTGGTAATGTATATAGAAGAAAAGTAAAAAGAGAAAAAAAGATTGGTAACGAAGATGGATAAAAAATGACAAATGATAAAATGACTAATTAATATTCCACGAACGAAATACATAAAGGCGACAGAAAAATGTTCGGTAATATCAATGGGAAGAATGAAGATATAAGTCAAATGAGCTACTCTTGGCTAGTTCTCTCTGTGAATGACATAACGTACGTAAATTATGAGAAATTTTTCCTTGATTATCTTACTGGTTATCTTAACATACGAAAATGGGAATACTTAGAGTTTTAGGCTTGGTGGAAACAAAAGTTAATGTGTATATAAAGGCAAGAACATAACGATAAAACAATACAATCAAAATTTAAAGCAAGTCGGATATAAATGTGGAGTTAATTGGGATGATAAAAAAAGAAACGATAAAGGGGAGAAAAAAAAACTAAACTGGTATATAAGCACTACTTAGACAAACCGTAGTGTATAGGCACAAGTCAAAGCACATTTAGGAGGAAGAGAGTACCGTTACGAAAATAAACTGAAACTTGACAATCAGCTAATTTTCTTTCTGTTTCTGTCTCCAATCTCTGCATAGATCTTTACCACACGGTACATTCACGTGAAAGGGAATGAATTCAAAAAACAATGTGGACTTGAGGAAATCATCGAGAATCTAGATAATGCAAACATGCGATAAAAGCATGATAAGTACATCATATTTGTACCAGACATCCAATGAATGATTATACAGTAATAAGCTCGGTTCCAACTTACCGTCTGTCCAACTTCACTGAATAAGTAGACCTCGATATATCGTATATACTAATGCACTCAAGGAATGATACAGCTTGGAGCTTTCGGATTGACATTCGCCTCGCAGAGACGAAGGTTTTGATGACCAATGGGGAAACCGTTTGATTTTTTGACCATTTTAGCAACTGAACGGTATACATTGTATTCAATTAACAATACGATTGAAAATCCACTTCATTTCCCCATACTTTATGCGCGCGTAGAACTAATAATCCTTGTCGCAATAGGCTTGTAATTGTCTTGCACGATATCCATACTGGTCATTCCGATCCACTTATCCTCCTCTTTCGCTCCCACCATTGTATCTCGGCGTCTTCTCTTTATAATAACCCCTCTCTCTGGAACCGGATTCACTAGATAACCCTGTTGGAGAAGGTCGGACGTAGAATCTAAAAAGCTCTCGAGCGTCCTCCATTGAAAAAATATGGTGTTCTGGGAGTCCTGTCCTGACAAATGCGGGGAGATGTCGATGCCTCGAAAGGTGGGGAAGGACTGTCTGTGGGTCATATCGCGCACCCATGACGTTTGGCCGTCCCTGTTGTAAAATTAGGTATATAATATATGTTAGAGAAAAGTGCACGTGTGCGTGCGCGAGTTTTTAACAGAAGACATTGCGAAAGAGACGGTGAAATGGACAGATAAGGAGGTAATGGGATTGTCTCGGTGCTGTATAGTCCAATAAAGAACGATTGAGATTTCCTCAAAAAATAAAATAATAATGATAATACGCATTCCCAGCCCTATATACTCACCCAAATTTAAAATCAAACAAAAGCGATGAATCTTGCACAGACATAAAGTAGCTTCCCCGCAAAAGGTAATTAGACATATAACGCTCGTTGCGAAACCTCTGTGTCTTCTTTTTATGTTTGAACGAGTAAAGCTTTAAATTGATAAAACCTCGTCTCATGGTGGCCTTGACGACAATTAATTCGTCACCTGATTTCAGGAAAAAATGAAGATCGGGTATTATAGAGAGTTCGCAACAGTCATGGGAGAAGTCGAGAACTTTGAGTTTGGAAAGATAATATTCATTGTGCAAGTCAGCGAAATGCATGTCGAGCAACATTTTGCGGATAGAAAGTGAGAGGGAGAGGGAGAGATATAAAGAGGGGAGATATCGTGTTTATGGTAATAATTTGCGTACAGGTTGTAGAGGTTGAAATTGAATGTTAGACCTATAAAGAGTGACTGAACAGCTAGTGTTGTGTGGATAGCGAAAGTATCCTTCGCAATGAACGGGAAGAATAATTGTGTGGAAATGCGCACAGGTCTTGTGCTTATGAGAGAGGGCGACGAAGTTGGACTCCTTTTATGCAAATTGGTTCTGTATCGATTGAAGCACTTGAAGCGACGATTTCTGTTTGTTCTGTATAATCGTATGCAGCATTTGTGATTTCATTGCCTATGGAGTTCTCTCATATGATAGTGGTCTGAAAAATGTCTACTTTGCATAGAAAGGAATGAAATAGGCAAAGTATTTAATTCCAAAGTCGAGCAGGTAATGGACATAGACATTGTCCATTTTTATATTAATTATTACAGTGGCTGTAATTAAATACACTATTACTATTGCATACAAACGTTAATTACATAATATATTTCTTAAATATATTTACAGTAAAAAAGATTTTATAATAATATACGTGTATTAATTAGTATAGTTTATTTTATTATTATATTAGTATGCGCTAACCATACTTGGTAATAAATGGTTACAAATCAATATCTGATGTTCAATCTAGGAAGTTTGAATTGGGACAATCTAATGGCAACCTTGATATAGTGAAGTCAGCGGGACGGGCATTTTCTTCATTATATCGAAAATTCACTGTATCGAACTATAGTAAAGTTTATACTAATGTTTTTGGATCAGAGGAATTGTTTACTATAGCGCGAAATTCACTGTATCAAGACTTCACCATATCGAGGTTTGACTGTATTATTAATTCTAATATAAATCTCTATTTATAAATATTCCGTTCATCGCTTATCACCTATCCATATTTGGTAATTTGTAACATGTTACCTGTATCACACGCAAGCCTCCCCTCTCAAATGTAACTAAAAAAAAGATTTCCTATCCTCCTGTTGCATATTGTTGTGATTCGTAGATCGAAATGTGTGGGAGAGAGTTATATCACCATCGCACGAACGACATTATCAGGGAATATAATAAGCGTTCTATTGTGTTTCTTTATAAAAAAAAGGCCACATGTATAATTGAAAATGTTGCATGCGTACATTTCTGTTGATGTTTCCATTGCGTAAAGAATTGGAAGTTGGGCGTTTGCTTGTATTCTTGTTCAACTATTTCTACAGTGGATAGTACATATATTGTATAGTATATAGTATACAGTATATAATTGTCAGTGGTCCGTGCACTATATAATTCGAATCGAATAAACAATATGTCATATATTTACTTTAAGTTATTGATTATTCATAACAAACAAAAAGACTATGATTACGCAAAAAAATTTGTTTATGGCTTAGTAATGTAACCTAAGATTCTCACACCACAGCCACTGCAATTATATAGTATTACCAAACAGAAGTGGGCGTTCATATCCGGTTGAATGGTCAGGCCATATAGCGATACCTATAAATACAAAGAAACATGCGCAGTACATATGAGTTTGAAAGCCCATGAATTTGAAACAGCTCGCATGCAAAAGATGGCAGCAGGAATGAAACGATTAGAGGTAATCACGTGAGTTGGAGACGTTCCCAAGATGTCGATAATGTGGAACTTTGGGGGACTCGTATTCATTCCTTTGAATCTTAGCCTTCTCGCAAAATCTTTTTCTGTTAGCTCATTTCTTAAAAGTCTAATCTGGGATAATTATTAACGCGTGGTATTAATGCATGATATAGATAGCCATCAGTTATCATGATCTAGTCATTTCACCTGCATAGATTTGTCATTTGTGTTGATAAGCCGTTTTTAATGACACTATGCTAGAGCGCGAAGTATGTATACAGTATATGAAGCAAACACAATCTCCCGAGTTCGTCCTTTTGTTTGTCTGTGAGTAATACGACAGCTTATCTTCTAACCGTTTATTCAAAAGAGTAGACGTTCTTCACGTCCGAATATTCACTTGCTTTAATAGAAAGTGTAAACATGCAGAATCCCTGCTTTTTTGACTTTACTAACCTTATATGCATACATTATGAAACGACTAATTTGGCACAGTCCGACATGAGAGAAACTGCCGCTAGCATTCCAGTTGACAGGACTCTAAACTGACGCATGCATGACAAGGTAACCGCCTTAATCCTCCCGTCTGGCAGAAATCGGATTTTAGAATACAGCGAGGTGTTGAATTTTTCTTTTCCTGCGCGCTATTTATGACTCTAGTTGATAAAACGTGACAAGTAGGAATGATTCAGAATCTCTTTATCGTTATGTATATCCTCACCCCATTTCTCTGCTTCCAAGCTCTCGCGTTGCTTTACAAATGGTTTGCCTCAATACCAGGAAAGGATAGACGTTTTGCATTTACATATCATGTTTGGATAAGTGATTTGCAATAAAAACACAAAGAAAGTTGGTTATTACGAAACGAAAGCGTTTCCGATGCATAAAATGAAATTCGCCATCTTTTGTTTAATATATGCTATCTGTTGTAATACCGTCCACACTAAAAAAAACTCCCTTTAGCACGATCATTCATTGAATGCGCGAGCAGATCGTACAAAGTATGGCCTGCCTAAATGACGACCAATTGCAAATGAAAAACGATATTTATGAGTCAGGGGAAGAGGCATTAAAGTTTGTTCCCGTGTCATTATGCGTTACGCAGAGTTTGAAACATGGTCACACGTATCAGGCAGGGAACAATGTATGTGGGCAATTGTTTGTCTTTTGATGATTTATGGCACGAGGTAAGAGGTCTAGAACCCATGTTTGACATGCGGGGGATCGGGATGTTGGAAAAATAATGAGCTTGGTGGTTTGTTTGCGATTCCAAAAAAAGTATGGGTTAAAAAAAGAATTATTTATTTTTGGATGTGTAAACGCCAAGTCTCGACAATCGGATTTATATTTGTCTTGCGGGCGTTGCTCGCTCCGTTAGTCAAGAATAACCGCACTCTCAACCTCTTATAGTCTTTCGAATACGGAAAGTAAGGAGAAACGTCATAAATATTAAAGAACATTCTGACTAATACACAAAAGGCTTAATTGTTCAGTTAATGGTCCAAGTGATTACTAGTAACGCAACGTTTCTTTTTTTTTTTTTGTTCATAAACGGTGACAATAATTTTACCTCATGACTGTGAGTAAGGCATCTAGCGGTTAAAAGAAACTTTTGCCTACCTTTATGACAAGGCTAATTTCTTATTAATATATTAGTGAGATTAATTGAAAGATAAACGAAAATGACGTCCAGTCTCTTGTTTTATGTGTGATAAAGACGACATGAGTTATCTAAAAATACTTGTAATAGTTGATCGTTATTACCTTCTAGTAAACTAGCAAGCTGCTATTAACAATAATATATACGTTCTTGGTAGTCAGTGTGAACTAATCCTGCTTGCCTCGACTAAAATAATATCCTGATGTTCGAAGAAGTTTCCCATTTAGAAACTACAGACTTTTCTGAACAAACTGTTGTACACGTATTACTGCCGTGGATAAAGGTTGCGCTTCATTATAATTCACGAATAAAGCATAGTAAATAATCTGGTTATCCGTCACGCGATCTCGTATAAAAGTTCCGTCATTACATTGTTCGAAACGAATAACCTTCTAACAGTACTTCACTTACCCCAACAATGCAATTGCTAGTTACCTTTCGACTACGTTTGTTGACAGGACTAGGTTCAGCAGTCTTGTAAGTACTAAGTTTTTTTTTTGTCAAGGGCAGCATTGTCGCAAACGTGTGAATATTATCATATAATATTATTTGCGAATAATAATGATAGGTTGTTTCGATATTCATCAATCTTGTGAATAAACTTTTACCTGTACTATAGTAAGAATTAAACTTTCTCTTTTAAAGTATCTACAGCTTTTGTAGTAGACACATAACCAAATCAGACAAAGTGAATATATGGTGTTATTTTTATGACGTTTGCATAATTCTTTCACTATAAATGTTATTATGTTGTTATTGTTATGACATAAACACAGAGAGTTAATTAAATTGTAATATTCAGTTTAAATTTTTATTTAAAAAAATTGGTTTGTTCCAATTCTTTGATTTTACTTTGTATAATACAATACATGCATTCTCCATAGTATCTGACATTATTGTTAGCAGATTGAGCTAATACATGTAGTCATTATCTAGTCATCAACGCAAGTTAAAGTCGCGATCTTCATTAATATTAACTTTGTCAGTCATTGCTTATACAGTATGATTTAAGGTTTTACTGCCAGCGTTCTCAATGTCATTGGGCAAATGCTCTTTTTTATGGAGAAAAATGTGCATTCCGACGTGTCCTATTATCATGTAATTTACAACTACTTTACCTTTTTTGTCGTGATAAATGTCATATTGGTTGGGTTAAATGAGTCCATAAATGCATCTAGTTTGTTTTTAGTAGTACTAATTGTAGTTCAATATTTAGATCTTTTGCATGGTATTGTTACGGTTCGCAATTTAATTGGAGCCCGTTTTCCTAGTCTTTATTTAATGCACGTGAAATCTTTCTCTATTCTTAACAAACCTATAAATAGTAGAAGTTATCAGAATCAATTTTGTGATTTTTCGTTTTTCTTGTCGCTGAAGAAAATTGGTCTTTTTTTTTTGCCTACCTGCCCATTTACAACCAATTATTAGACAGAAAGTAGAAATGCTGATAACTATCTAAACTCCCTTATTACGGGCAGTCTCACTATGGTTCACCTATCTACTTTGCAAGTAAGGGTACTAGCGATTATATATAAGAATAAATTCTATAACCGTCTAAACAAGAAAATTTAAATTTAGGCCAATACTCGATTCGTGTGTTTGACTAGTCGATTAAATCCTATCGCTCGCTCTTTTATTCTTACTAATAAAAAGAATATTACTTATAATTGTATGAGTCTTTAATTTGTTAGATCGATCGGCGTTTTCTCAGCTATGCAAAACTGCTGTTATTCCCGACTTGTAACAATTGTTAGACAATTAAATTAAAGGGCTGTCCTTTGTGATGCTACGCTATAAACGGTGACGTATTCTCTCCTAAATTTCTGCATTACTCCGACGGTGCAGTAACACCAGCGCATGATACAAGCAATGTCACGGCAGTAATACGGCAGTGATACAGCAGTGATGTAGCAGTACTGTAGCAGCGCTGCTGAGAATGTTCGATAGATAATTAGAAATAGCTGCTAAAAATAGATTAATTACTCCGCTCGAAAGATATATAAGTAGCGTAGATTCAGTTAAATCGAGTCAGTCAATAAGTGCAATGTTTAGAATGTTCTAATTACTCTCTATTCCTTTATTGTAAATAAATGAGTAGTTCTTTATACTCTGAAATACATTGCTAATGATTCATTCCCTGATAACTTATCGGTATAGCTGAGAAACCGTAATCCCTATACCGACAAAAAAAAGAATAACCGCCTTTTGTTCCGCGATTATTCGAGTGGCAAATTACGATAATTAATTGTTATGTAGATGCGCATTATTACAATTAAAATACTATTGTACCCCAACGGTAGACTAAGAATTAATCCCATCTTAGGAGCCAACAGAGTTACTCGAGTACAATTAATATATCCAAAATTAGCGTCACTCTACGACTGGAAGGTTTTCGTAAGTGCAGACCTTGATTGGACAAAGTCACTAACTGCACGCTCTGCCGAAACTAGCTAAATTCCTAGTGTCCATTATTACCTGCTCTCCCGTGATAGTCGGCATGACACCTTTGTTCAGCAGTGTACTGTTTCAATCACCTTATAAACTAGTGATGATTCAATCAAATGGATATGAAATGCTAATAAAATGGAATAAATACTAATGGAATAAGATAATATTTCGGCGACGGAATTTGCTCGTGTTTATAACTCAACTGTAACACTTTTTTATATAGTTTTTGATTTGGTTTTGTGTTGTGATTTTTCTGTTACGTTCTAAATTAGATGACTATAGACTCAAGAACAAAGGGGTTTTTGACTTTTTTCCCCCAAATATTCCGGTTTAAAGAGGATGCCTCAAAAGCAACATTTAATTTACGTAATTGCGTAATTAGCGTTAATTATTTATAAACTTTTTTTTTAACCATTATTCAAGAAAATAGGAAAACATAATGGTTTGTTTGCGTTTCACGAAACGTTTGGGAGCGTGTTTGTGTGACATACTTTTATATCACAGGGATATTTGATTGTGATACTGATACTAATACGGTTCCATAATTTACATTCGAGAAAATCGTGAAGTGTGTGTATATTGGAGAAAGAAAGAAGCCGAGTGAGTCAGGAAACAATTACCGTAGAGCACTAAACTAAAGTACTTTACATTTCACTTTTTTTGAAGAGTACTTTACTCGGTGGGTACTTTGGTACACCCATGATAATACATTGACAACTCCATAATGCTTATACTCTATATAAATAAAGACAATGTACGGATATTCACGTTCTCTTTCTCGATACAATACTATGTATGGTTCGCGCTAACAGCCTGCAAGACGTTTTCGTATCACGAAACAAGTTTGCAGAAAATGGTCAGCAAGGGAAAAACTTATTGTTATTCTATCCGAGAAACAGCAAGCAGATTCGACATAGAATCAAAGCAAGTGAGAGACTGAAAGATCAACTAATATGGGGAGGTATAGTGAGAATGATACCGTTGACGTTCATTCGGATAATGAGAATACCGAACCATCAGAGTCAACCGGACAGATCACGAAGATATGTTGGAAAACTACGATAATGACTGGTGAGGAGCACACGTATTCTTATCAGGTTGCAAGTGATTGTGAGGAACAAGCCTCACCATTGTTAGGTATAGCATCCCCGAATTAAAGACAAATATTGTTCCGGCAAAGAAACTACGTACAAACCTTACAATTGTAAATATGTCAGTACAGAAGTAAACGAATAAATCCCACTTTAACGAATATCACGTGATTATAATGAAAGTTCTTTATATAGGTAGAAGCATTAACGAAGTTTTTTGGCGGAACGGGAGTTCTTCGTTAAAGCGGACTTTACTGTGTATACAGGGGGTATTTTAGACAGTGCTCTACGTAATTATAATTAGCTATTAATGATTAATTAATATATTGAAACATTGAAAAATTATATATTGGTCAAAAGTCTCGTCATGTTTAAATTCGAAGCTTAGTTAGTCCTGTTACGTCAGCAACTATTTTTGTGTTTCAACAAGCTTTCGATGTCAAACATTACATAGACTTTTTTTTCAGAGTATTTGCGATAGCAATAATTATCGAGACATCAGGGATTGGATCAACCTATTGACTGTACCCATATAGTCAGCGGCGTAGCCGAGTATTGTCATAATGTGACTGTATTTGAGGTAACACGTATTGAAAACAAACCCAACGAACAAAAAGATTTTTTTTTTTTTTAAAAGACGCGTCATATAAACTACCCTCTTTTAAATAATTTCCTATTACTCCAAGAATAGTTCGATTTGCTTCGTGAACCCAATCTATCAATTGCTTCTGAAGACTTTCAAGGGAAATGGTGCACATAGTAATGTATCCATTAGGTCCTCATCTTGTATTTATGTTTATTGAAACTATCGATAGCTAGGCAATAAACCAAAACACGATTTTACAATAAGTAGTTCCTCAGTCTAACTCTATATCTTTCTACTCGTTTGATTTTCAATACTATTATATCTCTTTTCTTAATTAAATCTTTCATACCCTTTCATTTACTGACTTACCTTCATTCTCTCCAACAGCATCCATGTTATCCATGCAACCGCCTTTTCCGTTTCCGTATCTTTCCTATCGACCTGGTATTCTTTCCAGTCCGTGCTCGCGCGGATGCTACATCGAGATTGTTGTCTGCATCGGACGAAAGTTCAGATGATGATGAGGTTTTGACAACTTGGGGAGAATTGTCGCTGCCATCATTGTTTCTGGACGACATGTTTGCTTTCTGGTTCCATCGGTCGATGATTCGTTGTATACGCTTGCTACGATGAACACGCCTACGCTTTGTTGTAGGTGTGTCAACAGCAGTTGAAGAGAGAAAGGCGTCGATCGTTAGCTGACGCCTTTTCGCTGCTGCGTCCTAGGGCATTTGTAGAACATCCCATCATGAATAATTGATCTGAATGTGCAGGAATAATTTAGAAAGGAATGCTCATAATTCACCTTTTGGAGTGTCATGCTCTTGATAACTGGAACGACAGTAGCGTCTACTTTGTCTTCTGGCCACGAAAGATTTTGCATAAGAAACCTTTTGTAAGAGCGATGTGATCAAGGAATAATATATATCTAACTTTGAAAATATACATTCATAACATGCGAAATAATCAAAGGATACTCTCGTAGAGAATCGAGATCTGGAAGCCCCCATTCAAAGCGCGCTTCTGAATCATCTACTTGTGGTCGCATATACGCGTCAAATACGCGTCTATCCGGAAAGTCTGTGGATAGGAAGAGATCCTTTTGTTTCTTACGCTGTAACAAGCCAACCAACTGTTAATAAATACATTCTAACTATCCCAGAAAAACGATAAGCAGATTATATCCCAATGGCATATGGTCGTGGATAGGACCAAGGCTATCCATTGGATAAATTGGTATATAACAATGTATCTACATAAGTGCAAATAAACAGTTCGCTCGTTAAAATACTTACGAAGTTCCTCTTAAAGTCACTTTCCTTTGGCCCGCCTTTATCTCTCCCGTTCTGCACCTCTATCCACCAGTCTCTAAAACTAACTAGCATATCTTCTCCTTCGAACTCGTTTAATATTTCCATGGCGGTAACCACTCCAACTCCTTGTAATCCTTCCGCATAATCACTTCCTAGTAAGAGCGCCAATACTATCAACCTCTTTCTATCCAAATGCAACTCGCGCTCTATATCCGAAGCAAGGTAGCATTCGACATATTTGTGATTGTTGAACATGTTCTTGTATACACGACTACCGCCGAATAGAAAGACATCGCTATCATCACTAACGATGGCGTCCGCGAGCGAAAGTCGACATAGTTCAGCACACTGAGCTTCGGCTTCCATCGGAGCCACTATGTACGGAATGCCAAACAGGCGAAGTAAGTGCTGGTTGAGTGTGATGGTTAGCGAAGGGTATGAATTAGCAATTAGAACCATACGTATGAATTGAATATGATCAATCAAAGAATCAATATCTAACTTGGCAGTCATCAATCATTGTCTGCGTGATACTATCGGCAACTCGTCGCTCACTTCTTCGCCTCTCGTCCAATTGTTGTAATTCATGGTCTAGCTCCCGCTGGACGGCACCCAAGTCTTTATTTCTAACTTCAGATATAAATCGTGCGAATTCGGTGTTTTCTTCGTTCAACCGGGAAGGTATCGAGTCCTCTTCATCATTTGACGCGGCGTAATTGTCGAGGTCGCCTTCATTTTCGGAGGAAGAAGAAGCGGGTGATATAGTGGTGACAGGGTCTATATTGGTGACAGGGTCTATATTGGATACAGCCTGTTTTGTGAAAAAGGGAGATTTGACTGAAAGGTTATGAGTTAAGGATGATTCCATATTTGGAGTTTCGACAGTCGCGATGGATACTCCGTTGATGGATGTTGTTGATTGTGGTATCTCGATAATGACTTCTTCCATATCGCTATCATCAGAGCTATCTGCAACGCTAGTATTCTCTGCAAAAGACGTCCTCGTTATTTCTGTTATGGTAGCCGGACTATCGGAAGCTATGATATGATCAGATGACATACTTTCTTGTACAGAAGATTCTTCTATAGATGTAACATCTATAGCGTTTGATAAAAACAAAGGCTTTCCTTGTGACAGGGAAGACGAATCTCTTATATCATCATCAGATTCATCAAGGATTATTGGCTTCATTCTGGAAGCTCCATCATTACTTGTCTGAGTGGCTGAATCTACATCAACACCTTTGCCTTTCCATGAACTGGCTTCGATCATCGCTTCTGTATCTTTCTCAGCACCTTCCAAACTAACTGAATTTTCCATCTTCCGTCTCTCGATTATTGCTTTCAGTAGACACTCCCAATATAAAAATGCGTACGTTTTAAAATCTCCATCCTTCATTTTGCCCGATTTTTTAACGGCATTATTGAGCTCGCGTTGTAGCTCTTCCGTATTCCATTTGTATATTGCGTCATGTATTAGTATTTCATGATCAGGATATTCAGCAGTGAATGAGTTTGGTGCACGCGAGAGCCAAACGCCATAAAAGGTATCTATAGGCAATTCAAGCCCTTCGGAAGACCAAGCCAATTTATTAGGGGCCATAGTCTGAGGACATTGTGCAGGTAATGGTGGTGCTGGTGAACTCGAAGGCAAGATTGAACGAGCCTGAGTGTGCGAAAGGGTATCGTCGTTTTGTTCTAATCGTCCAAACTTTGCCATGACCGATGAAATACTTTCATCTTCATGAACATATGCCACGGGATTCAACAAGAGATTTTCCCTATCATACATTATGACATCTTCTATTTACAGAGAGATATGGAAAATATAAATAAACAATCACAAACGGTTCGACAGATTGTTATATATTTACCGGTCTCCTCAAGTGCGGCATCACCTCCCAATGGGCCTTCATCCAACTCTTTTGACAATACAACGTCACCATCGTCATCGTCACTGATGACTTCGATAACTTCACTAGTTCGTCTGCTCGCCGTCAGTTGAATCAATAAGTATCAAACAAAAGGGCCATAATTATTAATGCACCACATACTTACTTTTCAGCTTGTTCGACTTCTTCCAATTCATCACTTTTTTCATCCGAACTCGTGTCCACTTCGACTGGCTCGGCCTTTGTGCCCGCCGCGTTGCTTCCTTTTATTCCAATAGTCCAACCCCCTTTATCGCTTGTATTCTTAATCAAAATATATTCTCTATTTCGTTCGGAAGCAATTTTCACAGGATTTCCATTCGTCGAATTAGATCCTAATCCAGTAACGTCTAACAGCTTCTGTGTAAGTGAGTTCCTATGAACGAGATTTTCTATCTGCAACTTGGAGAAATCAAGAGCGGTGTTTTTATTGATTGTCAAGGTAAGCGGACTGAAAAAAAAAAAAAAAACAAAAACAGAAACAAACAAAACAAAACAAAACTGAATAACTTAATATTATAAAGTTATGATAAAGGATATTGGTGCCATCTTGACCATGTTATTCAACCGATGCCAAGAAGTCCGGCGGCTTTTTAACCGTAGCTCGCTAACGATTTCGTATTGTGTTTCGATTGGAAGTGATCGGAAATGTTCGGAGTCAATGTCAACGTCTTCTGTCTGATTCAGATCGAGTTTAACAAGCAATAAGTTTCTAAACAAGAAACGGCAACTGAGAAGGAATCATGTTGTATGTAATCAAACCAGATGTTGAATAAATTTTTGCTTTTAACCTTAAAGTCTTCAATATATCTTCTAAGATCATCCTCTGTTGCAAATCGAAGATCATCTTTCTTTGACAGCGATCTGTCAACGTATAATTGTGAATAAGAGTTTGCGTTAAGAATTACCAAGCATGAATCATACTAAGCGATTCACTTACTCAAAACTTTCTTGCATCGGGGGTAAGTCGTATTCATCATGCTTTTTTTGTTTATATCTTTGATGCGGTGATAAGTTTATCTCATCGTAATACACAACATTATCGGGTATATGTCCTATGATTTGCTTCCCGTCTCTTCGAAGTAGATTCGGCGTATCAAACAAAACAATCTTGCCTAAATTTCAAACATATATGTAACTAGACCGTTCATCTAAAATCTTACGTTGTCCCTTCAACCTCCTGAATAGCTCTTAAACGCAATTGGGAAGCTAGCATCTTTTCAGCAGTCTTTTGCACAATGTTGGCTGCTCCTTCGCGCCGTTGGCGGCGTTCAGCCTAATCACGCATAATCATTTTACTTCACAGTTCAGATATATTGAAGACGATTTATAGTATTTATTTCGATCACTAACCACTGTGCGGCGTTTAAGCGCTGGCACGCCTCCATCAAAGACAAAGATAGGTTTTATGTTGAAAAATAGCAGTTTACAGATTCGTCGAAAGAAACCGAGTATATGAGCATTCTTAAGTACATTGCCTTCTTTATCTCGCATAGCCTTTAAGAACTGGTGAAGCCATATACTAGCATGTGAAGAATGGAAGCACATTAAGGACATTACGTGAAGAGACATGAACGATATCACAAAGTGATTCCTTTATTGTTCAACTTATGTTTAACTAGCGGCTTTATCACCAAAGCTGCATTCATTGCAAACGTAAATACCGAAAACTTTACTTTCTAGTGAAAGTATAGAGAATTAGAGAGAAAGGATATCTATAGCAAGTATCTTATCAGAAAGATCTTCGAGTTTAGTAGGCCGTCCAACAGGCTCTAGTAAACTCCACAGACCCTTAACACCCATGTCGAGTTTGAAAAGTACAAAGCGAGCGGAACGTGCGGCGGAGCTTTATTACCCAATTGGCTAACAATTTGTACTTGCCAAATCTGGAAATAGATTATCTCATAGTTAGCTGTTAATCCGAATTCTCGTTAATATTAATCCGAAGAAATATTCTGGTCCCAATTTATTCATAATCCGCAGTTGTGAAAAACTTGTCATATAAAAATTCCTCGTTAATCCGAAGAATCTCATCAGCTTATAAAGTTTGACTCTCTTTGAATTTGTTTTTTCATAATGAACCGTAAGCCAAAGACAAAAGAAAGAATTGAAGATTGCCGAGATAGATAATCATTTACTTGGAGAATACCAATTGGTGAAGACGTTATAGTAATTGTCACAGGCATTGAAACACCAGAACCGTGTGAAGAATACGAGGATGAAAGCCCAGTTTCGCTTGCATTAGCCAATTAAAGCATCGATAATATTTTAAGATTTATTAGACAAGAATATGCGACAAAAATCACCGCCTTGTAGTCAATCTTAGTATTAGGGCATGACAAATTAAGCGACAATTACATCTTGACAGTTTTTTCGCACCTCAAAGCGAGACAACATAATCAGATGTTAGCAGGTGGAAGTGTGTAGAACCATTTTGTGTACGTTGTGATAATAATAACTAACAATAATAAAGACTTAAGTTGCAAACCTCGTTAATATTAATCCGAAAAGATGCCGTTAATCCGAACTTAAGCCTCGGTCCGGATTAACGAGGTTGACTATGTATTATAATTAGGTAAGGGGGGCTTCGCCCTCCCCGTTCTAGTAATTGAGAATCTGTTAACGATTTAATTTCTAAAAAGGAAATACATGAAGTTTGTGTTATTAATCTATGAGCGAAATTATTTGTACAAGTGGCTCTCGATATAAGAAAGTGATCGGGGCCCAACAAATTCCTTTCTTGTATCGAAAATCTCTTATAACGAGAGTCATTTGTTATAAGATTTTAAATCGGGTCCAGCAAAAATACTTTCTTATATCGAAAGTTTCTTATATCGAAGGGTTCTTATATCGAGAGCCACTTGTAATAATAATAATAATAATAATAATAATAAAGCGTTTATCTTGTCTGCGGTAAATTAAATCATCACATAGAAGTTGTGATCCGACGTAAATTATATAGCGACGCAAATTATATACAACAATGTATAGGTATAAATATCGTTTGTATCATTGTTCATAATTTGAGGGATAAGAGTATGAAAAAAAATATCCATACCCGAATATTACCCCTCCCTTGTACTTTGGTAAGGCAAAGAAATAATGGAAAGCTCTCTTTCTCGAAAAAATTTATTTTTGAGGGAAATCTACTCTTAGAAAAAAACAAAGTGAATATATATGCGATCCCTATTTTTTCGGCAAGAATTTTTCAGGCGAGGTAAAAGCCAACCCCTCACATGACCGCCTAAGTATCAATGGATCAGATATTCGGTAAGAACATACTCTTTTAATTTTTATATCGCTATGTAATAAATAACAAAGATTTAATACATATCATGTTCCACACACATACAGCATCTACATGTTAAAGAAGATAAACATGATGTGAGTGCCATTTATTAATATTCATACAGCATTGATAAACTAATACATCAAAGAATAGAAATTTCAAATTTCGTCTATCTCTTAGCTACATAATATATTTGGGAAAAGCTGACTTCTGATCTCCTCAAAGGTAACATGTGCTATGTCAGGAAATTCACGAACTTTTCCAGAGTGATTTTGGGAGTGCTGGGACTACCTCGAATATAGACAATACGAAATCCAGGCACGCGCTTGCCATTTCTGGTAACAACAAACTTATTTTGTGAATCTATTTTAGCAGAATGACCAGGACCATACATCTCATCCAAATACATCTCAATCTGATTTCTTCCATTAATTTGCACTAAAGAGATACCAGCTTGTGCAGACATTGGTTCAAATGCTTGCCTGATGTTTGTTGATGATTTGCTGTTGTGTGAAGTAAAATCACTGATAGATACCTGTATAAATATAGGTCCAAGCATGTAATCAAATTGGGGGTACCTATCAAAGCCACGACCTAAGACTTTATCATTACCAGGTCCAAGGGATAATTGGGAATTTTTAATCAAACCATAGTCATTAAACTGAAGTATAATAACATTTCTATTATTATTATTGAGATCTGTTGTATTGAGCTGTATTGTTGTGTTACATTTGCATACAAGTCAATTGAATAAGGCTTCCTCAAATTGCTCTCCAGTTAGACTTCCTACACAGAGTTGATTTTTTATATTTTCAGATAGGTCAAATGACATGTACATTTTTAATAAGGCTTTCTGAGCAGATGGGCATAGAGGGAGGTAATGAGTAATCCCTTCCTTGTACCGATAAATTAACCCAAGATCTAAGAACTTCCATTCAAACTGCACAACTGGTTTACTGGGAAAAAACATACTTGTGAGAGCATCATAGTAGCCAGTTCTTTCAGTTTTTGGGAGATCATTATAATATTTTTGAGCAATAGCCAGAATCTTGTCAACCTGTTCAATCTCAAATTTTTTCAATACTTGTTGAAAGCAATTTACATTGGTAATAGTGATGTTGAGTTTTTTGATATATTCAACTAGGTATATGAGTTCACATGGCACACAATTTGTAACCTTTTTTGCTTCTTCTTTGATGCCTTGTATCCTCAGAACAGGGTGCAACTGTAACAAAGTATCAAATACATTGCTCTGTAGTGGACCAACATAGATCACCCAAAACTCATATTGACCATTTTTCATGTATCCCTCTCATATCTAGCATGTGCAGTCCCCGTAAAGATTACACGTGCAAATTTGTAATGTTCTCCCCAAAAATTAAGGTTCATCAGAGGACTTAACAAGTGAATTCTTAAAGGTACTGGATCTTTTTCAAATAATATACCATGTTCATCAACAATTAATAGAGCTTTGTGGTCTGCTAATTTGATTAAGTCTAAAATTTCTTCAGCAACAGTAACCACAACCTGTTGAGGATTACGATTACTAGCAAATTGCACAATCTTCTTAAGCTCAGCAGCAGTCAAAATATCTTTATTAAGTGCCAGGAAGTATCTGCAAATCACTGCTCCTGCTTTCTCTGATGATTCTACATTAAGATCAGATGCATCTGCAATGTAGAGCACTGGCCATTCTTCAGCATAAGCTTTAGATGCAAGGAAGTAGGAAATATATGATTTGCCCACACCCATTGGGCCTGAAAGAACACACTTGATTGAATGATCACTATCTGCTGAAAGCTTGTCCCATATGTCAATCATCTGTCCAGTAACAAGCAATGTCCTTCCTTGATAACCTTCAGCAAAGTGTTTCAGTTCCTGGCCAAGATGTGGTAGGGTAATTGATTGGCCAACATGGAGGTTCCAGAAGGCAGTTTTAAAATTAATGCGCAGATCAGGTACGAATTTGTTACTTTCAAGCATGTCAATTATTTGGGATGGCAATTCTACGGAGTGACCATCAGAGGCAGTGTATGACTTCCAGCCCTGTTCTATTCGACATTTCTTTATAGGATACTCTACAAAGCGCAGTAGGAAGGAAAGAAGTATAAATCAATATTTGATAAATATATCACAACGCAAACATAACAGCTATCAAAAAGATATCGCGTTCACTCGCATTGACTAATTTATTTACCGGTGGCAACGGTTGACTCTACGATAACGTAAATGTGTTTTTTGGGCGGGTTTGACGACAAGCAGGAAAGAAAAGCACAAGATTATGTAAGTATTCGGTATTATTGGCAAATATGACACGGTGTGAGCGAGAATGAAGTTCGCTTACCTCTTTGAATTTTATTAATCAGCTTCTCGATTTCTTTAACTGGTCCACCCGGTATTCCCCATCTCTCAAAATCCGTTGCAGTAAAATCATAGAAGTTGCTACCCTTAACCCTCTGATTATATAATATTTCGATATCTCTGTCTTCAAGGTCTAATCCAGTTTTGTTGTTTTGTAAAAATGCTTTAACGTCCTCTCGACTCCATGCCTTCACATGTTCAACTGTTAAGATTAGACATAACACTGGTTGAGGAACTTGTAACGTTAGACGACATAGCAATTTTTTTTTGAGGTACAGTCATACCCCTCTATAGTCACCCCCTCTATAAGCACACATATAAAAAACCTCTTTATAAGCACACTTCCAGCAAAAGTTGCATTGTACCCGACAGCGTGACTATATATATAGAACGACTGTATACGATTGTCGCACAGATTGATAGTTTTATTACGTAATACAGACGACGCCACTATGGAATTTCATCATCACGTGGTCACTTCATTTTATGCTTTCTAACATGAAATGCACATCACAAAAATTTTAACGCGTGACTCAAACGACGTACACCTTTTTTTCATAGAATTATATAAGAAAAAAATCCATCGTGTCTACATCGCATCTATATTATAAGAGACGTAAGAGGAAAATTACATATCTCGGGTTTGGACCGGACGATTATTATCACACATTAATAATTAACTAGGAAATCGTGCTTCGCACGTGACACGGTTTATTATATCGATATTATAGGGTTAACAGAAGTATTTATTTAGTTGTATGTTTCTTTATTGTACGTTTTATGTGTGTAGATTTCTATGGAATAAACGGTTTTATGTTAAGTTTTGTTGAGGCAAAGTCTGATGCTTTCGTGATTCTTTTGTTTATTGACGTGCCTTGTTCGGAGATGTCTTGTGCTTGTTTTCTTTTGCCTCTTGTTGATAGGGGAGTGGGCGTTGTATTGAGTGTTATGGTTTTGTTACTGTTACTGTTGTTCTTGTTATTATTGTTGTTGGTGCTGTTGTTGTTTTCGTTGTCGATTTCGTTGTTGGTGTTGTTGTTGGTTTGATTGTCGTTTTCGTTGTTGTTGTTTTCGTTGTTATCGCTGTTGTTGCTTGTTATGTGTTTATAATGCGGTGATGTTATAGAATTGTACATAGATGTTATACCAATTAAGGGTATGTAAATATGTTTTTTATTATTGAAAAAAGTAACATATTTGGTACAGATTATTTGTATTGATACATATGGATGCGTGGGAAAAAAAAATACAGTATGTCGATGTCAGTGTTACGGGAGGTAAGTTTAGCTTTGTTGTAGCTATATTTGCAATTTTTTTCGGTGGGTTTGAGCGTGATTGTCTTTTATCAGTTTTTCCTTGGGGTTTGACGATTCTTCCTCTATGTTAGATTCTCGATCGCTTTCTATTATGGTGGAAAGGGAATCAGTATCGCGCTTGTTTGGTGATATTGATTTTTCTAAAGTAGAGTTATCCGATCGATTTCGTTTTCGTGATTGATTGGGAGGGGAGGGGGTTTTTTGGAAAAGAGATTCATACATGAGTTGAGTGATCTTTTTTGGGATGAAGTAGTTGAATTCGGAATGGTGCAAGGTGGTTGTTGAGTAGTTGTTGTTTGCGGAATGTTAAGAGACAGAAAGTCAAAATTATGGAGTACGTTTTGAGCGGCTACTCCTGTTGGTGTTAACAGAACTTATTTTCTTTTGGAACGTTCAAGGAACAATTTGAATTGGTGGATGATGAAGGATTTTCCCGTTCCCGCGGAACCTGTTAAGAAGAAGAATCTGTGTTGTCTGTTTGTTCTTGATCCCATTAGGTTTGTTAGTATGTTCATGATTTTATATTGTTCTGTGGGAGATTGTTAAGTTGAAATTCAATGATGTCGAGGTTATTAATAGCGATTTCCCTTTCTAATGTTTGGAGTAGGGAATTGACCAGAACTCCAAATTGTGACGTGAGTTGTAGTTGTGTCTGTGTTAGGTAGGATCTTATGTTTTGGCGGTATTGTTTAGATTCATTTGGGAATAGGGAGAGGTAGTGTTCTCGATATGCGTCAAAGTTATTTGAAAGTTCGTCTTCTGATCTCCACGAGCGCGTTTCCAATAGTCGATGATAGAAATATAGCTCACTATCTGGTAATTTTAGAAATCGCGTGCGAGTTAGCACTGGTTTTGTCCGACGTACGATGATTTGGCCATCCAGATCAATTCCCGCATTCCGAGTTGTGCGGTAATTTGGAGATTTAATTTCATAGAGGCGGTAGTAATCACTGTATTTTATGTTGCGAAATTCTTCTGTTAACGGGCGACGGAAATATTTTTCAATGGCATCTTTGTAATAGGGTTCATCCGGGTTTAAGAGTTTTGGTCGGACAGGTATGCACATGTGCAGCGCCTCGATTTTGAAATTCAACACGTTCAAAAAAGTTTTCAATTGTACCCCATCCAGAAACTTTACTGTCTTTCCAGATGTTTTTTTTCATGGATCTGAATCGATTGATGAAATGGCATGTGACATGGAATGGGCGGTTTGAAGGTAATGTGTCATGATTATCAGTGTTTCTTTGAGATGTTCCCATTTGGTTTCTGCTATAGACAATGTGATAAATAAAGATGGGAGTCCCAGGTATCTCAACATTGTGTTTAAGTGTAATTCATTTTCATGAAAGTAGGAGTCACCTGTATGAATGAATGTTGGAAGTGGTGTTGTTAGGGATTCATTTATAATGAGAGTATCGGTGTTGTAACTGCTTTGTCTTAACAGTTCTGCAGCAGTGGTCGATTATGTTCGGAGTCTGTTTGTCGTTGATGGACCAGTCAGATGTTATTTTGAAAATTACGGTATTTTTCTAGCTGCATGTATGACCACATTGGCCATGCAAATGTAATCTGAAGCGGGGGTCATAGCCTAACATTCGGCTTTTAATGTATTTTCCATAGGTTTTGATTTTGTCATTGGAGGATGAGGTGTTTTGTTTCAATTCACTGTAATGTCCGTGTCCATCAGGAAACAAATCAGGGTATAGAAGAGCTTCTAACTCAGGATCGTGTAAAGGAATTGGTATCCTGTTATCATCTTTTGTATATAGAAAGCCTATGGCTAAGCGGGTGTAATGAAAATCTTCATTGTGAATTTCATCGGGGAAATCATGTGCTGGAATTATTATGTCGCCACGGTTTGCAGGCGGTATAATTTGTTCGGTTTCTATATGAGTGGCGCGTTGCCATATTGGATTAGCAGTAAAGTCATTAGTTTGTAATAGTGGGAGGCAAGAGATGGTATGATCGTAAGTATGGATTGTTTTCTTGTAGCCGTTCACAGGCATCTCTTAGAGAAGGATGGTACCAAAGATTTTCTGGGGAAGACAGGTCGACGTTTTGGAGAAATGCTCTCAGCATACCGGAATACAGTGATAGTGTTCGTAGATTTTTTGAATATCCAAATTGACCTTTAATTGATCGGTATTCTGAGTAAGCCGGTATATTTGATGATCTGCCAAGGCTCGAGTGCAGATATACGGGTGACAAATATTTTCGTTTGCCATCAGGTACGTTTTCGATACAAGGAGGAATTCGTAGGACACGGGGAAGGGGATAGTTTACATGACGGGCATACAGCTACTTTTGTACTATGCCGTGGATGTGTAATTAGGGGAATATTTATTGGTTGTGTATGCGAAAATTATTTAAGCCTTTATTACATTAATAAAATGTTCTCACGTTTATTTTTAGGACAAACATATGGAAATGAAATTAGTCGTTAGTTGCTTTAGAGTGGCATGAAGGTAAGCGACAACACTAGAGACTGGTATACCATTGAAACTGGTATAACATTCATAGAAAAAAAAATTGCAACCAATTTTCCGCAATAACTGATCACTTGGTTTATCATATAGCTTTGAGCGGATCAACACATTAGATTGGAATTTTTATATGAACAAAACGATCTAATTATTTTATTATATGTTGTAAGGCGATATATTTTATTATAATTATGATATATATCTTTTGTTTACCAAATTATATATATAATCGGTGGCTTTCCGACAAGCATTTTTTGCGGCCCACCATAGCAATAGCTACTAGCGACTAATATCTAGTAACTTTAAAATCGAAAGGCGTTTTTGGTGTTGATCATTGCCAAAAGATAATAAAAAGGAAGGTCTACATTAGAAAAAGGAAAGGTTTACATTGCGCAAATAGATGTTATAGGCTGAGTCGAGGCAAACTTTAAAAACGTGGGTTCAATCTTTACAATATGTTAATAAAATAAAATTTATATTAGAGTTATTTCAAACTTGAAAATTTACTTTACTCACTGGTATGCGCACTCTAGAGTCATTACGGCTTTTTGTAACAAATTAAACGTGATTTTTTATGGTGTAACTGAATGGTTGTGCCGACAAGTGGAAAGAAATGAATCAAGAATTCAAACGATAATTGACGTGAATTGTACTTTGTTAAAAAATAGATTTAAAAAAGCTTAAAAGGGATCAGTTAATGGTGTATAAAGCAATTTTTATAATACGAAAATAGTATTGTCTTTATTAAAACGGTAAAAACTGCTGTGAAAATTAAGGTAGAAGTTGATCATTATAAGTCACTAGTTTTTGAGACACTCCAACGTATTGTACAATGGATTAAATTTATTACAGTAACATATATAGAATATAGAATAGAAATGATAAATTTTGTGGTACATGGCTTTCTGCCTTATAATTGTAACTGTTGTCTAAGGGTGGTGGGTGGGATAAGATATATTAATAGTAATAGTAATAATAAATAATATAATAATACTAATACTAATACTAATAAAAAGATTCAGCTGGAATGATCGCCTACAAAAGTTACTTATTAAAGGATTTCGAGGTTAGTACAGAGGGAAATCTACCTATTACTATTAACGTTTGGTAAACAAAATCACACGATAATATGAAATTAATAGT